TGCTTCACCACCCTTCTATTGAAAAAGTTTTTCCTAATATCCAACCTAAACTTCCCCCACTGCAACTTGAGACCATTACTCTTTGTTCTGTCATCTGGTACCACTGAAAACAGTCTAGATCCTTCCTCTTTGGAACCCCCTTTCAGGTAGTTGAAAGCAGCTATCAAATCACCCCTCATTGTTCTCTTCTGACTAAATAACCCTAGTTCCCTCAGTCTCTCTTCGTAAGTCATGTGCTCCAGACTGCTAACCATTTTTGTTGCCCTCCGCTGGACTCTTTCCTATTTTTCCACATCCTTCTTGTAGTGTGGGGCCCAAAACTGGACACAGTACTCCAGAATAGAGGGGAACGATCAAGTGCCTCGATCTGCTGGCAATGCCCCTACTTATACAGCCCAAAATGCCGTTAGCCTTCTTGGCAACAAGGGCACACTGTTGACTCATATCCAGCTTCTCGTCCACTGTAACCCCTAGGTCCTTTTCTGCAGAACTGCTGCCTAGCCACTCGGTCCCTAGTCTGTAGCAGTGCATGGGATTCTTCCATCCTAAGTGCAAGACTCTGCACTTGTCCTTGTTGAACATCATCAGATTTCTTTTGGCCCAATCCTCTAATTTGTCTAGGTCCCTCTGTATCCTATCCCTACCCTCTAGTGTATCTACCACTTCTCCCAGTTTAGTGTCGTCTGCAAACTTGCTGAGGGTGCAATCCACGCCATCCTCCAGGTCATTAATGAAGATATTGAACAAAACCGGCCCCAGGACCGACCCTTGGGGCACTCCGCTTGATACCGGCTGCCAACTAAACATGGAGCCATTGATCACTACCCATTGAGCCCGATGATCAAGCCAGCTTTCTATCCACCTTATAGTCCATTCATCCAGCCCATACTTCTTTAACTTGCTGGCAAGAATACTGTGGGAGACCATATCAAAAGCTTTGCTCAAGTCAAGGAATAACATGTCCACTGCTTTCCCCTCATCCACAGAGCCAGTTATCTCTTCATAGAAGGCAATTAGGTTAGTCAGGCATGACTTGCCCTTGGTGAATCCATGCTGACTGTTTCTGCTCACTTTCCTCTCCTCGAAGTGCTTCAAAATTGATTCCTTGAGGACCTGCTCCATGATTTTTCTAGGGACTGAGGTGAAGCTGACTGGCCTGTAGTTCCCCGGATCCTCCTCCTTCCCGTTTTTAAAATCTTGGGCTTTAACCACAAGATCCATCCTTTCTGCTCCCTGAGACCCTTTGTTGCAGCTATGCCAGAAAGACAAGCGCTACATAAAACTGATTGTTACTTTTGCAGCCATTGTACCATAATAGAAAGACTAGAAGAGTTTTTATGAGCATTTTAGTTACTAGGGAAACAAGTCAACTTTGCTCTACAACTTACAAAATGTTCTGGGCGTGAAAGTAGATTTGTAAATGCCAGTTTGCATTTGATTTGTGAGGTAGTTCAAGATGATTTAGTCAACCTTGGAAATGAAGGAACAACTTCAAGATGCAGTCCTTAAGATGGAAAAAAACAATTGTTACCAGTACAGTGTGATTGTGAGAGCATTTTCATCTGCATTGCACTGCAAGAGCTAAATCTGACATATGTTTGACAGCATTCCAGTTGGCAAACAGCAACATTTTAGTAAGTCAGTACCGCTGTGAGACCAATGTGAGATCTGATTTAACAGCAAGATAAATTCATCCCACCCCAAACTACAACAACAGATGGACTAAACTTGTAAAGTTTTTGTATGTCCTTTCAGAACATCATACATACCTGCTTTGCTGTCTGTCATTAGCATTCCTGCTTTAGTTTCCAGCAAAAAATGAACATGAATTTCTTGGCACAAGAATGCACTTTAATAATCCACTCATTGAATGTGAAAAGAATATTAATCACATTTTTAAAGTGACACTGCTCTGTGTTTTACATGACTTTTACTCTTTAACAAACCTTTCAATTTTAGAAACATGCTGTGTGTGTTCATTAGGTCCTGCATGCAACAATTCCAACACCTCCAGTCCTTTCTGAATAGATTGGATAGAGATGTTCTCTGCTGTTTTGTCAAGTCAAATCCATTTGTTTGCTTTTTAACTCTACAGGTCAAATTCACAGTTGGCATGCGTGGATGCAATTTGACTTCAGTGAAGTTGTGCCCCTTTATGTTGTACTCGGAATGTCAGGGAGTTCTGCGAGCACTACAAAGGCACAGAAACAGGGGTGCTGGAACAATTTTTATAATTGCTGAGAGCAACTGAACAAAACTGTAAACCCTGTATATGATAGAAATCACTTCAAGCCAGGGGGTGCAGTAGCACCCCAAGCACCCCTACTTCCAGCACATATGAGCAGAAACATTCATTTGAGAAGCTAAATAGAACTTTAGTGGAATCAGGCTGAAACAGTCACTTCCAGGATCTTCACCTCAGGCTTTTGACAGCCCTGAGCTCTCCTTTCTGCACAGAGCTCTTCCCAGCCTTCATTTGCCTTGAACCATCTTTTCATCTTGTCTGTCTGACTGTTCAGAGTACAGTCCCCCCATCAAGATGAAGGCCTCATCATTTCCCTGCTCCCTTACTAGTCTCTGTTTCACATTGTCCATTTTTCTTTCCCTTGGTCAGCTTTCCTGTGCTGTCCCCACCCATTCTCCCCAGTCCTCCCTACCCCATTGTGCTATTGGTCTGCCCAAATGGAATCACAATATACAGCTTCCCACAGTGGTCCAGTTCGGAACTCTGTCTCCCACGCTAACCTTGCCTTTGAACAAAACTCTCAATTTAACATTGATTCTGGGATATGAATAGCACTATAGATAAAGTTAAATATCAGTAACAAAGGCATGGCTTCGTTCTTCTGGGGCCCTACACAAAGATAGCAATAATAGCTATTGCATTCTTTCTCAATAACAGTTCCAGTTGGTTCACAGTCAGTTCACTGCTTCAGTTGTTTAAAAAGCATATCAGTGATGGGCTTTTTAGTGGTTTGGTATCAGTGACTCCAACTCCAAAGGCATCTCCAGTGAGGAGAATGAGAGTCATGGGAGTATCATGTTTAGAGATGGAGCTCACACCTGCCTCAGAGCTTGATGCAGCAGATGAGCCAGAGTTCAAGCCTGGTACCGGAGCTGTAGAATTGAACCTGTTTTATTCCCTCTAATAATACTGCACCACAGGTAACAGGCGTTGCCCAGGACTTAAAATGGTCTCCAAAAAGTGCTAGGTCTGTCCCTGACTAACAATGCAATTTACATACTTCACAACAAAATGTCAGAACTCAGACACTTTGTTAAATATGTTTATAATACTCCCTCACTTTAGGAGCCTGCATTTTAGAGGCTGGATTAAAGGTTTGCAACCTTGTTAGACCCAGCTCACTTTATACCCTGCACTTCCTTCGTGTCAGATTGTGTGATTTGCCTGCTGCCATCCACTGGCTCTCAGTATCAGCACCATATCCCATATCTGTGTCAGTTTTGGCCACCCACTTTCAAATGCCATAGCTCTCTGCTGCAGGTAAAACATATGATGCTAATGTGGGCACACTGCTAACTTCAGCCATAGGTATAGATTTAGTGTCCTACATAATGCCATTGCCGCACATGTCAGAATGTCATAGAAGCCATACATGACTTTAATTGTGCCTGGCTTGGCTCTGTAATACAAGAGAGGTGGAAGAGGATTCAGGACTCTTTCCCCCATCCTTGAGCCCCAGAGCTGTGTCCAGGCCCAACTGTAGTCCTTGTGCCCAGGAAGCACTAGGGTATGCCAGCCTAGTGTCACTGACAATTCAAAGCTCTCAAGAGGGAGAGTGAAAGGGACATGACCCTACTCTGCCCAGATCCGCAGAGCTGGCCCCATGTAGGGAGGAAGCACAACCTGCATCCTGTGAAGAGATAGTGAAGTGGCAGCCATCCCATTATACTCCTGGAGGGCATTATGTCTGCCTGATGAATAATGCTTCTAGGAGCGCTGGGGTAGTGGACCATTACACAGTCTTCTGTTGTGCTGGCTGCGCCTTTAAGATAAAACGTAGCTCTCATCATTTTTAGTGATTCTGGCTAATAGGATTATGTTTATCTTAACTGGTTTGCCCTAACCAGCCTTTATTCTGAACGCTATCAGTTTGGTATGACGGGGAAAGAAAACCAGGTATTTTTCTGTCAGACAGTTCTCTGTGATTTTTCTCCATATCAACAGCTGTCACAGCCATCACGGAAGATAAGAGACACTAAAGTGCTTAACCCTGCTTTTTATGTTTAGGTTGCTGCCTTCTGCATTGCTCAGCAAACTTCTCCTGCAGCCCCAGACAAAGTGGCTCTTATTTCAATATTGCAATATTCTGTGAGGCATAATGGTTGTGTTTTACTGTTTAAATTCACTACATTGTGGGTATCAGCACAGCAGAAACAGCTAACCCCTGACACCAAAGCACATAAAAATAAAAGATTAAGATAAAAGGGTCTACTGAAGACTGATGTGTTGTAGAAATAGTTAAAAGTGCCCTGCTGACAAAGTGCCTTGCAAAATGTACCTTCTGATGCAGCAGTGATAGGAAAATGCCTTTTTATTTAAATATTTATATAGTTTTATTTTGAAAAAGAAACTTTGAATCCTCAGCCACAAAAAGAGATGGTCTCTGGAGACCCCCAAAAATAGACCAGATTGTCCGATCCCCTTATTCATTCTGAAAATACCATACACCACTGCAGTCAATTAACTTACTTGTGCAATTAGGTACTGTGACAATCAGGGTCTTTCTTACTCTTTGGGATTCAGACCCCCTGTTCTCCCCTTGGGGTGTCTGGACCCTGATTGTGACAGATACTGCTTGACATGTGTTACCACTCTCACAGTCTCATTCAGTATGGGGTAAGACCTCGTTTTCCAAGAGGCACAAACCCACGGCCACACATTAATTGTGTACTCAATTTATAAGCACAGTTATCGGTACAAGATGAACTAATACAAGGCAATGTTATAACAGACTCTCCTGTTTTTGCTGTTACAGATTAATCTCAAAGGTCTTGGGCAACTGTATAAAATCCGCATTGGTCATGACAACAGTGGAAATGACCCCAGCTGGTACCTAGAGGAGGTGAGACTTGAAAGAATGGCCCCTACCTCTGACCGGGAGATTTGTCTGGCTGTAGACTGCTGGCTAGCAGAAGATCAGGATGATGGAGACACCTGGACAGAAGTAGCAATTGGGATGTCTGAAAAGGAGCTTTTGTCAAGTATGTGTCGCTTACATTATAACAAATTTTTATTAAACCTGAAGGGATGTATCCTGGGTTGCTTTGTGAGCTGTTCATAGCCACCCCTCCAGAGCAAAGCTAAAAGCCAGTGTAACCAGCCACAAGACAATCCCTCCCAGCACAGAGCCAATGTGGTAGTTCTGACAAAACCCCTTCTCTCCCAGAGGCCAAGGGATGTGGTCAGTTTATCCCTATGCTCCTGTGGTGCTTGGCTGCTGCAACTGCCCCCTAAAACACTGTCAACTGGTGCTACTTAAAGCAACCAAAAGGCACACATTGACCAAGGAGCGGGGAACACCAAGACAGTTTGAAATAAGGTTGATGTTGCACAAAATGCTTTGTAGCTGCAGTTCAGGATCTGGGCAATGAGTAGCTGTTGCTCAAACTACATTTGAGCTATTCTCTGTAAAATGGCAATGTATAACTTTAGGACGGATCTTTTGAAGGACATCAGAGGTTATCCACATTTCTGTTGACACCATGAATCTTTATAAGTGGAGCAGAAGAAACACATACAACCATTAAAAAGAACAAAGAAACAAATTTCTGGGCTTTTATAGTGGCACAGGGAGCTGGAAAAATCATTTAATGTATCACATCTTTATAGAATTTCCTTGACATTAACAAGATGACGGTGCAGCTATGATCTGGCATCATAGGCCCCTGAACTAGACCTTATGTATGTTATAGTTCAGGCAGATTGTATTTGAGATGAGATAGTAGGAATGCAAGGAATTAGTGGCTCACTGTATAGAAGGGTCATCCCACACTTAGTCAGTGACAATCAACTAATTCCAAAAGATGTAAACAAACTAATACCTTTAGGAGGTATGTCATTTTCCCCAAAAGCAATCTAGATTGGAACTGAGACATTTTTTTCATAGATTTTAAAGCCAGAAAGAACTATTAGATCATCTGTTTTGACCTACTACACAGCACAGGCCATCGAAATGTTGGGAAGGACAGAGATACAAACTCATTTCCCCTCAACCCCTTGCTCTTTTCCCCATTCTCCAGAATAGTATGCAATTTAAGTAACACCCTCACTGATTAAGGTGTTACATAAATTAGGATTGAGCAGGTGGAATTGAGGCCCATCTAATCTGGAAACAGTATTCGCATGAGCCGCAGTATCACTCTTGGGAACCCCATATGACATAAATGCCTCACATTGGTGCAATAGGAAAATGAATGCCTGATGTTAGTGGAGTTGCGTCCGGTATGAATTTGACTCTCTGGACCCGATTCTCTATTGGGCAGTCATTTACAACTGTGCCAAGGAAGTGTAAAATACTGCCATTCTGATATGTACACAGGGCCAGCTCCAGGCAGCAGTGAAGGAAGCAGGTGCCTGGGGCGGCCAATAGAAAGGAGTGTCAGTCCGTCTGTTGCTGGGGCAGCACGTCCGGGTCTTCAGCGGCAATTCGGTGGTGGGTCCTTCACTCCCTCTCGTCCTCTTCGGCGGCACTTGAGCGGCAGCTCAGTTTTTTTTTTTCTTCGCCGCTTGGGGCGGCAAAAATGCTGGAGCCAGCCCTGTATGTACACTCACTCTGGCCAGCTGTAAATGGCTACACAAGGTGCAAGGTAGTGGAGAATCATGTCTACTGTGTATATTGTTGAGAATATGCTCAAAACAGGGCATTAGTTCAGCCCTGCTAAAAGTGGTGGTGCACTATTGCTGTTGTTGTATTTGCAGGGACACCATCTTTGTTAAGATATATGCAGCAAGTAAACAATATTCATAATATGGGTTTTAGAAATTTCATAACTTTTTAAGTTTATAGCTACAAATTAACTATTGATTTTGGGTTCATTTAAATTGAATATCAATATAAACTCAGCAGGGCTGCCCAAGGATTTTCTATTTCTCCATAACGAGAAAATGAAACACTAGCCATTTGCATTTCCCATTTACAAGGGTAATTGTCTACAAGTACTGGACAAACCACATCTCAAGTCATTTACCCAACAAAACAAATAATGTGCTGCATATTACCAAACAACAACCTGATACAATTTTATAATTTGTCTCCAGTGCTTTCAAATCAGTCTGGTACCTTTCCCCAGCACTAAATTCACTTAATTAAAAAATAATAATAATTTTCCAAAAACATTAACCAAAATAGAAAAGTATTTTTATAATCTCAACTCAGGAGGCATTGCATTTTTTATTGCTGTTCTTTGCCACTGATCTTTATTACTCATCTTTTCCCTCTAAACGGTATCCTCTCCCTGCTTTCTCCATTCAAAACTCCATTATCCTCCCAACACAGACTCGAAACCTTAGAGTTGATTTTGATTCCTCTTTCCCTTGCCACCTTCTACCTGCCCAATTCCTTCCCTCAAATCCAGGGGTAACTGTTACCAGTTACTGTCAGTTCTTCCTTACATCATCTCTAAAATCTCTTCTTTCATCTCCTTCTGTTTCTGACTTTGACAACTTTTCCTCCTGCTTGTCTCCTTACATGAGGCCAGTCAGTTCAAAATGCTGGCACTAAAATAATCTTCCTGCTCAGAGTGATGCTTTCATCCCTGTTTAGCCTTCACTGGCTTCCCTTCATCTTCCATGTCAAATTCAGACTTCTCACCCTTCAAGGTTCTGCATAACTCTGCCTTTGCCTCTACACTTCAGGTTTTATTTTTTCTCTACTTCCCGACCTACCAGCCCTCATGTCTGAGTGCCTCTTCTTATCTCCTCCTCCCATCTCCTCATCATGCCTTCTTTCATGTCATTCCCATTACACTTGGAACTCCTTCCCTGCAGTTCAGGACAGTCTTGCTGACTTCCAGTGTTCATCATTTTACACTTACTGAATCAGCATTCTTCAGACTTGACTTGGTTTGATCCCGTAGTGACTAGGATGACCAGATAGCAAGCGTGAAAAATCAGGAGGAGAGAGGGGGAGTAGTAGTTGCCATATAAGACAAAAGTCCCTAATATCGGGCATCTGGTCACACTAAACAAACTCAGAGAAAATCCATTCAATAGTTATTAAAGTGATGGATGCTTAAAACTGACAAATGTGGCCTGAATTGTGTCAAGGAAAAAAATAAAAGAAAAAAAAAAAGAAAAAAAAAAGGAAAAAGAAAATAAACTAGAAGATAAAATAATTCTGTAAGTGCTCACAATTTTACTTTAAATACTGTGACAAAGTTCCTCCTCTATCTTGGTGGGTCCTGCGCTTATTGGCGGATTTTCTTGCCTCAGAGATTCACCATGTGGGTTGGGGAACAGCCCAGAGACCTTCCCCTCTGGAAGAACCCACAGTCCAGGTCAATTGGGAGGTTTGGGGGGAACCCAGGCCCATCCTCTACTCCGGGTTCCAGCCCAGGGCCCTGTGGACTGCAGCTGCGTATAGTGCCTCCTGTAACAGCTGCATGACAGCTACAACTCCCTGGGCTACTTCCCCATGGCCTCCTCCAAACACCTTCCTTATTCTCACCACAGGACCTTCCTCCTGGTGTCTGATAACGCTTGTGCTCCTCAGTCCTCCAGCAGCTCTCCCTCTCAGCTCCTTGTGCCTCTTGCTCCCAGCTCCTCACACTCGCACCACAAACTGAAGTGAGCTCCTTTTAAAACCCAGGTGCCCTGATTAGCCTGCCTTAATTGATTCTAGCAGCTTCTTCTTAATTGGCTCCAGGTGTCCTAATTAGCCAGCCTGCCTTAGCTGGTTCTAGCAGGTTCCTGATTACTCTAGTGCAGCCCCTTCTCTGGTCACTCAGGGAACAGAAAACTACTCATCCAGTGACCAGTATATTTGCCCTCTACCAGACTCCTGTACCCCACTGGTCTGGGTCTGTCACAATACTCATGACTGCAGAACTGATTTTTTTTTCAAACATGGCTTAAGCTTTTGATCTGAAAGAGCTATACAGTACAAGAAATGTCAATGTTTTTATTTGTTTTCAAATTATCTAAATGCAAACTGTGTAATGTGAACATAAAGGGGAAAAATCTATTTTGTCCATGCTTGAATACATCAAAAATGGTTGAACTAATTTGGCTCAAACTTAAAAAAAATTCACTTTTGGACTGAGGGAAATCAGGGAAAAAATTGTTTTGAGAAATTTATGAGCAGCTACAGAGAGCGGCATTAGAATAGTCTCCTAATAATATGTCCAGTCTGTTAAAGCACCAGGTCAAAAATGGCTGACTTTATGTGCAATAAACAATACGTAAACTCCCAGCATAATTTTTGCATACAATATTTGCCTGGTATGTTTTCAGGTATGTTTTATAGAATCAGTTCAAATCAAAGAAATAAAATGACAGAGGAAATTATAAAGAAGTGGAAGAGGAGTCATGACTGAAATGTCTCCATGCCATAATGTTTGTATTTATCACTTGCCAGATAGTGGGGCAATTACAGCTTTTGGGGAACAATTGTTGAGAGTCTGCTGAAAATTTCATGTGAAATAGCATCTATGCAGGGCCGGCTCCAGGCACCAGGCAACCAAGCTGGTGCTTGGGGCGGCACCTGGAGGGGGGCGATGCGGTGCTCCGGCCGCCGGGGGGAGAGCCGAGCCCCAGCTGGGGCTCGCCGCCCTGCCCCCGGCGCTCTGGCTGCCGGGGGGAGAGCGGAGCCCCCGCCGGGGGGAGAGCGGAGCCCCCGCCGGGGGTCGCCACCCTCGCCCTGGGGCTCCGGCCGCCCTCCCCCCCGGCGCCCTCCCCCTGGCCGCGGGGGGGAGGGCGGAGCCCCCGCCGGGGCTCGCCGCCCTCCCCCCGGGGCTCCGGCTGCCCCCCCCATGGGGGGGGGGGCGCGGCCGGAGGCTTTTTTGCCTGGGGCGGCAAAAAAGCCAGAGCCGGCCCTGCATCTATGTGAACTAATAGCAGCTACCTGATCTGAAAATAATTTGGGCAATTTGGGTCATTATGATCACACAACTGTAAATGTTGAAAAAGCTTATCTCATATGCAGACTGAGTGAACAAAATCAGTTATACTTCATCTTAAATTCATCTGCTATTAGCTAGGAGTC